TTGATTTCAAATGTAGAAATTTGTTTTTTGAAAAATATATTGATATAGAGATATACATGTATATATTATGGTTTCAAAATGTTTGCAAAAGGTTTTAATTCCTGAGATCCATGTGAGTAGAGAGTGCAGCATTGTACCTTGCAGCCGAGGGAGAGGTCGTCTCTTGTCGGGCAGTGTTTGATCATTATGGGCTAAGAGATTAAGTGTAAGACCTTTGAGGGTAATACTTGATGGGCTAATCTTGCATCTGCCCACCGTTCTTGAGTTTTCATAAGGTGGCTAGATCCAAGAACCATTTAGTGTAAATGTTGGGTCCATTAAGAGCCCATAGTGATGGACTCAAGGGTTCACTGTCTCCTACAGTGAATTCAGCCAGGCTTTGTAATAAAGGCTGGGTTGAACCCATGTGGCTAATGTGTAGATCAATGTAAGGGTCCCATGCCAAACAAAGAGAGCCAACTGGGCAGCAAGTTAAGGAGTAAGTGAGCACATAAGCTTAATGGGCCTAAAGCCCAATTTGAACTGGGCTTAAGTTAGTTAATTGAAAAGAGGCAAGATCTAATTTATAATCTGATTAGGATTAGCTGAAAGGATAAGATAACTCTTATCCATTTAAGAGTTCAGATCCAAATATCAAATTTGGATCAAGAAACTCTTTCCTAATTAGATTAGGAGGCTGATCCAAAGAAGACTATAAATAGGGGGCAAATTCCTTAGTTTCATACATAGCAATCTACAGAATTCTCTCTTATTTTTTTCATCCCTACCAAGTTCGACCAAGTGGAATTAATCAAAGAAAGGTTCTTGATATTGTTTCTTGGTTGAATAAATAAACTGAAGTCGTGCTCACCATCCCCTCTTTGATTCTTGCTAAAGAATCCCGGTTCTTGCTGAAGAGCCATCCTACTGATCCTGCTTCATCGCACACTGTGTCATCTTTAGTGGAAGCGGGTTTTGGTCTTCTCCTTGGGCGCGAACACCTTCATTGAGAGTTACTGCTACTTCGTATCTGGTATATCCCTCACTTCCTATTGGTTTTAGATCTTACTCGGTTTTGTTTCAAGAATGATCTTTGAAAATGTAATTTTCTTAAATAGAGAATGCGATTCTCAAATGGGAGAGAGAATTTTTTTGAAAATTTGCCCAAACTTCCTATAGGGTTCGACAGTGAATTTGGCCAGGCCTTGTTACAAAGGCTAGGTTGAACTCATATGGCTTTTATGGAAATCAATGTTAGGGTCCCAACAAAGAGAGACAAGCTATCCATCAATTAAAAGGAAGTGAGCCTGAAAGTTTAATGGGCCTAAAGCCCAATTCGAACTGAGTTTAATGAGATTAATTAAAAGGGGCAAATTTGGGTTTATATTTGGATAGGGATCAACAAGAGGATAAGATAAGTCTTATCCACTTATGAGTTCAGATCCAAATAAAGATTTGGATCAAAGAACCCTTTCCTAATTTGATTAGGAAGCTGATCTTGAAAGGAATTGAATTATGGGGTGAATTCTAGAGAAATAATTCTTCTTTTCTACAATCTATTTTCTCCCTCTACTCTTGCCGCCCTACCCTGTTCGATCTCCAGTTCTTTGAGTGATCAAGATTGGATCTTGATATTGTTTCTTGTTAGAAGAAACAATCTTGTAGTTACATTCACATCCCTGCATGATTCTTGTTGAAAAATCTCTTTGCTAATCCTGCCTCATCCTAAGCTGTGTCATATTCAGTGGAGGTGGGATTTGGTACCCTCTTTGGGTGTGAACACCTATGTTAGGAGCTACTTGTGTGGATTCCGTACCAGGTATATCCCTCCCTTAATCTTAGTTACAGATTTGGTTTGATTTGTTTCAAGAACGAACCTTGAAAAATGCAGTTTTTCTAAATTAGGGAATAAGATTCTCAAAAGGGAGAAAAAATTATTTTTGAAATTTTGCCCAGCCACCTTGCATGGTTCGGCCATCCATATGATGGATCTCCCTTCCCTTCAGTTGCTTCCCAAGAGCAAGCTCATTAGGTCAAACATCTACTCAGTTTGGAGAAGAGCAATAAAGATATTTGAGTTCAAAAGTTTATGGAGGCATTAATCTTATTCATGTTGAAGTTCAACATAAATCGATTAAAGAACGGAAGAGAGTTAAGAATGGCATTAATCTTAATGTCATCTTCCAAGGTGCTACCAAGAGCTTCTAATTCATTGATGCAGCCTATCATCTTCATGACATGCTCATGCATGTGTTGTCTCTTAATCATGCAAGTAGTCATCAACATTTTAAGGACTTTTTGTCTAATAGAACGATTATACTCTTCATACATAGATTTAATTCCTTCCAATACCTCCTTACATGTTAAGACATTCTCATATTGTTTTTGGATGGAATTATCTAGTAAAGCAAGAATATAACATTTGGCAAGAGAGTTCTCATCTTGCAAATCATTATACTCCCTACATCATTCCTTAAAAGCTTGATTCCTAAGTGCTTCTAAAGCAGCCTGAGTGACAACCATGTCCATTTTTAAGTGTGAGTACAATGTTGAGGTTATGTTTTAGTCAGCATAATTTAGGTCTTTAAGCTTCTTGTTGTCAAGAAGTTTAGGGAATGATCCAATTGTCATTTACTACACAAGATTATTCTATATGTCTCTTCATAGAAGGGGTTTCAACATTTAGGTTAAATAGACTAGAGTAGTTTTAGCCAATTTGATCTAGGAATCAAATTTTGTTCGAGTGTAGTTCTAGAACTAAACCTAATGCTCTGATGCCGCTGTTGAACAGATTGAAAAACATCAATATGTTGGCCAAACCAACTTGGGTTTATATCCAAATTTCAAAAAATTTTTAGTTTGAACCCGAGAATTGGATTCTTTGAATTCAGAGAATCGGATTCTCCTAGGATCATTCTAGCATTGGATTGAACCAGATCTAGTTTTCAAAATTAAATTGAGCATACATGATACGGAGACCAAAAATTGCAGCTCCCAAAGTGGTGGTTTACTCCAAATACAACCAAATCGCTTCTAACTGAAAATGGCATAACTGATGTTAGCTGCTGATCCCGTAACCAGTTTTCAGCTGAAATTTCTAAGAAGCTTGGATTTGTGCAGCTATGAAACCACTTAAATTATGGTGTCTTATAGTGGAAAACATAGAAAAAGCAATGAGAGAACAGCAGCTCCTTGAAAGTAAAGAGAAGAATCCTATGGTAAATGAGGAACATGATAATCCCACACATGTAGAAGAATAGGACAACCAATATAAGGACTTCAATGACATTAGTGGGGACTATATGTTATTCTATCCCTCGCATATGAACATGGGAGATTCCTTTCCCACAAATATTCTATCCTCCTTTAACATTGTTGCCTCTCTACAGATAAGCACTCTTACCGATTATCTAGACATCTCTAGTGTTGTCACTTATGTATAACAAAGGGTCATAAGTCTAGACAACCGAATGGCTGCCCATAAGTAGTAGATTCTAAGTTGAAAGTAATTGAAGCTCGGATAGATGCCCTTCATAAAAATGAACACCAGGCTGCTTAGACCATTAGTAGTATCCAATCTAAGATCCTAGAGTTCCACACTATGCAACAACAAATGATCCCTCTCTTCGCTACCTTAGTAGTTCTAGTTGTAAAAAGCATGGGAAGGAGGTGGAGGAAAGGCAAGAATTTCAAGCTTTTCAAAGAAGAACACAGAGTGTAGTAGAGAAGCTATTTGGCATCGCTACAAAAAATTATTTTGAGTGTTCTTAGTCAACGCCCTAGACGATTTTATTTATTGGTTAAAACACTTAAAACTAAATCATTGAGGAACAATGTAACCCTAATATGTTGTTAAACTCAATTTTTCTTCGTTTCTGAGCATAAATTAATTGATCTAGAGTCTAGACAATGTGACCCTATTTCCTACTTATATTTGCTTATTTCCCTTGCTCCTCTTTCCCTTTACTACTGCCAAAAGGGAGAGGTTTTGGTGCATGATTAAAAAATGATACATTCTATCTATATCATCAAAAAGCAGCAGAGAAAAGTATACCCTCAAGAAGACGGGAGATTTGAGAAAAAGAAAAAATATTTCCTCAAGAAGTCAGAGAGAAATGTATGAAAAAGTTTGTTATCTCTTTATAAGGAGATGGACTTTTATATTGCAACCATACATCTGCGAATAATTGCAGTTAAGCCATCGCGATTTAACATAGGAAAACCACGATCACAGTATCACACATTGAAAGAGAACTACGGTCATTCTCCTTATATATAAGTCGTGGGCTCCTACCACAAGACACAAGCAAAGGATAGGCTACAAATACAAAGTATTACAAAGGACAAAAACAGCATACAAGATTGCAAGATCTATAGAAATGCCTTGCATGCAACATGTAGCAAGATCGTAGAGGAAGTGGTGGTTATAGTTTACACAGGTTGGTAACCGATCCCACCTTATTGATCCTATGCATATCCCTATCGAATTAACCTAGGCACAAGGTTCAAAATATCAATATGCTCGATACGGGCATATCAAGCAATATTGATACTGTTTTTTACTTTTTTATTTTTTTGAAACTGGTTCAGGGGGGTCGGTTTAAGGCTCCTCCACCCCCTGAACTGGTCAGAACCCCAGTACACCCACTAGAGGGGCATATCAGAGAGGTCCCAGAATGATACGTATCGGCCCGAATGTCATTCTGATGAAAGAATGAACATTCTTTCTTCTTAAGTTCCCTTGACCGAACCCTAATCTCTTTTCCTTCTCATTCTCATCTCCTTCTCAACTTCAGAACAGAGATCAAACATGAGAACAAGGAGTCTTGTGCTAAAGATATTCTGAGACACTTTTGAGCTCCAAATTAATGTAACACGCATAAGGTTCCTCATTCATCTAGTGAAAGGAACCCTCCCATATGTATAAAACACTGGCGTGTTCACTCGTAATTGGTAATAACAGAATAAGCTTAAACATGTAGCGCAGGTCTACGTGTAAACTGATTTACAAATTTGGAAAATGAGTTGGAAACTGATTTACAAATAGCTACATTTAACCAACAAGGACATACAGCCAAAACATTTACAACCTCAGCATTTTTGACTTTTGGGCCTCATCTGAAAATCATTTTTATCAATTAAATTAAAAAAATAATTATTAGAATCAAAACACCATACAGAAAAGCCATCTCTCCTTAAGTCCTAACTACTAACGAAGGATTCCATGGGCAGAAAAACAGACACATAAACACTACTGTCCAAAAGCGTCGACAGATAACGCAACTCCCCTGGCTGTACTACGAGAAACTGCAAAGACAAAATTGGGAGATTGATTCACGTACAATCAAGAAGGGCTTGTGAACAAATGGCAAACACAACCACTTCCAAACCCCCTTGCACTGATGAGTCCATCAATCATTGCCAAGTCGCTCTTCATGGTGGTGGTATAAAGAATCAATGACGGGCAAATTTAACTCGTTATTTGTCACATTTTCTGAACTTCCTCTAGGATGGAATGAAAAAGAACCGTGGGAATGTATCTCTCACCAAAGCTTGGGAATACAACCTGTAACATCTAAATTCATCAAAAAAATACCAAAAGCAATGAATAATAAATAATTTATATTCAACAACCATAGTTTGATGTTCTCAGTCCATGCTGAGAATCATCCAACGTCAGCCTGCAACGTACATTCCTTTTATATATGGAAATTGTCTAAAACTCACCATGAGTTTTCAGCATTTCCCTTAAACTCACCACAACTTTTCAAAACATCTAAAACTCATCATGTCAGCAAGTTTTTATTTTCCAAAACTCACCTTCCGTTAGTGCACCGTTAATGTTTCTTAACAGAGGTGTCCATGTCAGCACAAATAACAATTTTTATGACCAAATCACCAGTGAATGGCAAGTTAGAGGAAAAGGGTCTTTTCAATTTTTAATTTTCTTTTTTTACATTTTAGTGTTTTGTTATAATTTCTAATGTTTTTTATAATTTCTGTTTTCTTACATTTTTCTATTTTCTACAATCTATAAAATTTCCTGTATTTTTTGTTATTTATTTGCAATTTCTGTGTTTTTCTGTATTTTATATTTGAAAATATTTTTTGAACTTTTTCCTTTTTTTCTTATCTAAATATTAAAATATATGTATACATTTTATATTTTTTTATGAGGTTAAAATGGTAATATATTAACGGCCGTTAGTCTCTTTAACGTCAAGTTAGTGACATGGTGAGTTTTAGATTTGAAAAGTTGTGGTGAGTAAGAAAAATGCTGAAAACTCATGGTGAGTTTTTGACAATTTCCCTATTATATAAGAAATCACCTTTATCAAGCAGGGATAACATTCGGCCATGTGCCATAAATGGGAAGGAGTGACTTGATGGATTTTGGGGACTTTTTTTTTAAAAGAAAATATGGACTTTGATTGAGCGGAATGGCAAAGCAGGGTATATATAACTAATGCCAAACAAGGATTAGAATTTCAAAGAAGAGTTTAATTAATTTCAATTTTGTTGGTAGCCAAAATGAAATCTATAGAAACCTACTGTTTCAGTTGGAACAAGGAAAGGTAATATAGAACAAATTGAATGGAGAACTATAGAAAATAGGAAGAGATAATATAAAATATTCTTTCATGAGCAATAAATATTCCTTTAAATTTTTAGGCATTCCCCATATTCCACCCAAGATTTTGATTTTGAGAATGGTCAAAGCCTGGTCTAAATCCAAAATTTGAATCCTCAACCGCAAATATTTGTGATAAATGCATCCTTGGAATGGAACTTTATTTATGTAGAGAAACTGATTTCATCTATATTTTTCACTGATACAGTAACTTCATACATAGATCCCAAAGAAAACCAGGAAAAATACCAAAACAGACATCACTCAGTTTCTATTTCAGACTCTAATGGAACTTGAATTTGCAATAACCAGGCATACCATTGAGGTTACTTATTTAGAAACAGAAAAAAAGGTCTGGATAATAGATTGGGTTTCAATCGGGTGAGGCTAGATCAAGTCATAATAGTACAATTCAACTTAAGACCTTAATAAATCCTTGGAAACTCTCCTCCAATCTCTTGGTGTTTCTTTAGTAGCTACTATTAGTTTGTTTTCCCAATCTTCCTTAGAAGCATTGAAAACTATTCTACTATCACTTGCAGCCTATCCCATATTCAACAACCGTACAGCCTCCTTGCACTACACCTGCTCCTTATCTGCAAGTTCTTAACCACTCTCTTGTGTTTTCTCTACAGGTCTCCTAGTATCTTGTCTTCCACAAAGAGGATGAAATCTTTCAGAACACCTGAAACTTCTTTCTAACAAGCCACCAGTTCTTCAGAGAAACAAACCACTTTTCTTGTCTAAAATATTCCAAGTGTTCTTTCTTCTTTCTGCTACATACCTCCTACCACCTTCCTCTTTTGACCCCCTTATACAGAAGATTCCAATTCATCTGAGTTGCTTCCTCAACAAATGCCTTAAGCCAAGAACCTCTTCCCCTACCAGAAGCACCATCACTGTCTTCATCTCCCTAATCTTCAATCTGTTTTCCCATTCACACTGAAGCTTTCAAAGAGAACTGCTTTGCTTCAACATTCAAAGGTCTTCTCTACGTAGCTGTCTGCTCAAATTTACCTAATCAACTATCACACATCCTAATATATCCTTTGTTGTTGGTTTTATGAATCAGTTCATGGACTCACCTAGAGTGCCTCGTCATTTTTTTTTTTGATAAATTTTATTAAACTTCACATTGAAAGAATTACATCAAAGGTGGGGAATTCTCCACAGAAAAGACTTCAGATTTTTTCCCAAAAAATTTGTTGTCTTGTAGTCCCTTGTTTAGCCAATGTGTCCACCATCCCAATTGTTATTCTTCTTACCCATCTAAAAGTAACAATCATCTCCCTTTCTAAGGATTCTATTTCACAGATTATATGCCTGTAAAACCATGGGATATGGGTACTATTCCTTGTCCATTAAATAACTACTTGTGAATCCCCTACCACCTCCAAGTTAAGAAACCCAAACTGCTTAGTGAATCTTAGACCCTGAAGTAGACTAGACAATTCTTCTGTCAATGCATCACCATTGGCTACAGGTTCTGAATATAATGCAAAAACCTTCCTTCTGAGTCTCAAAAGACCCCCCCATTCCAGTTATTGCCTGATTGCCTATGTGTACCATACCTTCCATAAGTTTTACACAGTTGGCTGCTGGTTCTCTCCATTCCTTGTTTTGAGCTGACAAAGCCACTCCCTTCCACTTTCTCAGAATATCGTTTAGTTAGAAAGATTTAAAGTCCTCCATGGACTTCACCCAATGTACTACTTTTATTTATATACCTTTAGTTTGCTAATCCCCAATTTATCACTACCAGTGATGACGATATCATCCACATAGACCACTAATAAAATCTTCCCAGCTTCTAAGTCATAGCTGAACACTGAGTGGTCAACCTGGCACTGCTTCATTCCAAAACTCTTCACCACTTCGCTGAACTTCCCAAACCAAGCACGTGGAGATTGCTTCAACCCATAAATTGCCTTCTTCAGTTTGCACACCTTATCAACCTCCCCTTGAGCAACAAACCCAGGTGGTTGCTCCATATATACCTCCTCCACCAGATCACCATGGARGAAGGCATTMTTTATGTCAAGTTGAAAGAGAGGCCAATCATACATAACTGCCAAGGAAATTAGTACACGAATAGAACCAATTTTAGCCGCCGGAGAGAATGTCTCCATGTAGTCCACTCCATACAACTGTGAGTAACCTTTAGCAACAAGTCTG